CTGTTCTCCAGTTACAGGTTGGATGTCTGATTGGGTGACCTCTTAAAACTATATGCATTAGCTCATGTTGACCCTCTGCCCTCAGGAACAGGCATCAGCCTCCCATTGCTCCCCAACATGACACAAAGCTGGCATTGGCCTCTGCATCCTTTTATACCACTGTCCCCTCTCATACCTTGCCATAGTCTCTCTGGTACCTCCAGCCTCTTCAGCCCTCATGCCTCTGCTTCTTGGTGTCTAGGGCCATCCATTCAGAAAGGCCATGCCTTGCCCTGTTCTGAAAGAGCCCACATCCCTGTGCCTTCCCAATGCACTTTAATCCCCCTCCACACATTTGTTTGTTTGGTGGTAGCTCATGCCAGGCAAGTACTCTACCACTGATCTATACCCCCAGTCCCATTCTCATTTTGACACAGATGTTTTCCACATCTGGACTAGATGTGACACACCCATGCCATCTTGAATCAGAGTGACTGTGATTGTGAACATAAAAGCCCCAGGAGCCTGGGCCTGCTCACTTTCCCTCATGGAGTTTCAGTGTGGCTGGAGGAGGCTCATGAGGTCCAGACACCCCCTCTCTTCTTCAGAGTTATGTCAACAGCCAAGCATTGCTTTGAGTAAGACTCTCTGGTGGTTAAGTGACAACTGTCCCTGAGACTCTTCAGTGACTCCATTGGCATGTGTGGTCTGTGAGAATTCCCCAGTAGTACACCTACTTGTAAGTTGCCTAATTAGAGAACTTTCTAGTTGTGCAGCTGCTTGGAGTCACTCATGTTCTGGTAAGTTACCCCCATGCATTCATTGGTTTGCCACGCTGGCCTTGTAATCCCTCCCTTGGTCTGTTGGTGCCCTCTGGCCTTGACTTACAGACAACAGGAAGGGGTCTAAGATACTGAGTGTAGCTTGAGCATATACAAAACCTCAAAGCTCGCCTCCACAGTGACACACTTCCTCTAACAAGGCCATACCTTCTGCAACAAGGCCACACCTCGTAATAATGCTACTCCCTTTGGGGGCCATTTTCTCTCAAGCCACCACAGAGAGCAATAATCTGGTTATGGCACCAGTTACAGAGAAGGTACTCCAATACTTGTCAAAAATCATGTAAATTATGCTTCAGGCTGAATGTGTGTCTCCAACATTCCTGCATCTAAGCCCCCTAAGTGTGGCTATATTTGGAGATAAAGCCTTTATGAAGACTGAAGAAGGCCATAATAGCAGGACCCTTTGTGAAGAGACATCAGTTTTGAATACCTCGTCTCTGGTGTTTTGTGATGTCAGCCTTGGTGGTACAAGACAAGTTACAAAGATTAAAAAACAAACAAACAAGCAAACAGCAAGGAGCTCAACTGTTTTCCTTAGCATCCAGACTGTAGCAGGCAGAAGGATCCCTGAACATTTAAAGGTTCCAGGGGCAGCTGAGTGGCACAATGGTGTGACCTTTAATCATCAAGCAAGTCTTGACAGCACCTCCCAGGATAACCGAATCTTTAAGACTAATCTTATCTTGACCCAAGACTAGAAGAAGTACTCACTGTGAACACGTTAATACATTGTACAGCTTCTGATGGTGGTGTTCCCTGAGGTCATGAATAGCTGGTGCTCAGAGGACAAAGAATGAGCCAGTCATCATGGTGAGAAGTGGAATTTTCCAACGAAGCTCACCCCAGAAGCTCCCCGGAAGTTCCTACTGGTCACACCGAAGGACTCACATGCATCTGTGTGCCTAGCCCATAACCCTGACCCACCATGCACAGAGGTGAGATGCTTCAGGTAACTGCCTTGTTTATCTCCCACAAGGATCTGTATTCTGGATCTCCAAAGCAGACTATGGGGAAGAAATAGCAGGGCTTCTATTTATATGTCTTATTACAAAAGATAGTGTTCACAAATATGCACCAGGGCATTCACAGAAATGTACACCAGGGCACCAGCAGCCTCACTAGCCAAGGGTCAGCTGACCTTTAGTTTTCACTTTGGCAGCTATCTGAGGGGAAGGCTGGGGGGTTTATCACACTGGCATGGGTGCAGATAATGTGGTTTCTATGTGTCATTCATTTCTATCATGTTGTATCTCACTGATGTTTACGTGATGTCCACTTAAGGAATTGAAAACTATATTTCGTAGTTTTAACTACATTGGAGGTCACAAAGTAAGAAAGGATCTAAGGGTGTTTTGTGGGGAAGCTAACACTAAGACAAAAATGAACACCAATAGGATATTGGTGAAGTAGACTTGTCTCCTGTATTCAGAGCCATACTTGGAATGCACAGCACTGAAGAGCTGTCTAACATGGTCTAGTGAGAAGTCAGGAATCCCTTTCCACTGAAATAAGACATTTGAAACACAGATTTAAATCAACAACAGTGATCCTTGTTTTAAGTTTATATTGTTGTACTTTGAGATGCACTAAAGGGAGTATGAAGCAGGAAAGAACCAGAGATTAAAAAAATATGATTTATGTCCTCATTAAATGATTTTAAAGCAGTTTTATCCATATGTGTTTTATAATGTACACTGGCAAATTCAATAAGAGATTTGGTTGATGAGTTAATGAATACACATATTGGAGATGGTTAATGAGAATTTCAAAGTGATAGAATCTCTTCTCAGCGAAGTTTGGAAACCACCGATTTACAAATACAGGAATGAAAATAACTGGAACATAACATCCCTCCTAATAAAAGAATGATATCAATCAACCAACCAACCAGCCAACCAACCAACCAACCAACCAACCAACCAATCATTCAATACTCCTCTTTGATTACAGAATAGCTAGTAAGTTTCTGGATGTTTCTATGACCTTCTTTTCTCTTTTGCTTTTTGATCATTCCACAATTTCAAGGGTTAGTCTTCCATTATATTCAGCTTATGTTTTAGTCACTGTTCTATTACTATGAAAAGACACTACAACCAACGCAACTTATAAAAGAGAGCACTTAATTGGGAACTTTCCTACACACTCAAAGGGTTAGTCAATGGCTATCATTGTGGGGAGTATGGCATCAGGCAAACAGGAACGGCACTGGAGCAGTAGCTGAGAACTTAACGGCTCATCTGGAGCAGCAGTCAGAGAGAAGAGAAGAGGAGAGAGAGAGAGAGAGAGAGAGAGAGAGAGAGAGAGAGAGAGAGAGAGAGACAGAGACAGAGACAGAGACAGAGACAGAGACACATAGACAGAGACACAGAGACTGGGCCTGGCATGGGCTTCTGAAACTCCAAATCCCATCCCCAGTCACACACCTCCTTTAACAAAGCCATACTTCCTAATTCTTTCTAAACAGTCCATCAGTTATGGACCATGCACTCAAATATAAAAACCACCACAGCAAAGGAGATTGGAAATTGAAAATAAAATGATTTGGGGGATCTCTTTAGGGATTTTGGGTACTCTGCTCTTATTTTCAATTATTATAGATTTCCAATAATCTATAATTAGCTTATCATGTTCATGCTTGTTTATATCTACCTTACTGTGGAATATACCCAGAAGATGTGGCATTTGAAATGACATTGAAACCTGGTCACATTATTCCCATTTCTCTTTCACACATAAAAACATTTATCCCAGGTTTTGCCTAGCTCTCAGAATTTCCCTAATCTGCGCTCTCAAAACCAACATGCTCAGCCCTGCATGTCACATCATGATGAATATCAACATAGCTTTAGATGTTGATATCAACATCTAAAGATGTTGTTTAGATATCAACCCGTCCTTAGATGAGTATCACCATTTGGGAAAAACTTGAGGTTGAAAGGAAAATCAGCTAAAGTTCAGTGTAGGAAGGAAGTGGAGACTCGGAGAAGGATGCCCGAGGACTTGCTGATCATCATGCCACTGGAGCCCCGCAGAGCTGAGGGAAGCTGTCAGGCCTTCTCACCTGCCCTCTATCTGTACCCACCTGCGACATGGCACTTCAGGGAGCTTGGGGAAAGTGCTACTTTGCTTGCTGAATATGCTTTAGAAAAAGTAGAACATTCTTGACTAAGATTTCCCAAGTGTCCCTATCCAACATGGTGGCCATGAAAAAAACACGATTGCCTCTAGAGATTGGCTCTACTTTGTGAAAGGAGACATTCTAGAGTATCTTCTACTTCTCCTTGGGACTTTCAGAGGTTAGGTCACTACTAAGACACTGCCAGGTACTGTTTTCCCAACAAGAATGTGAACATTCGAAGATATTATTTTGTGGGATGCTCGCAGATGGTCATAATGAAAGACATAAATAAGAGTTAGACAGGAAGACCGAATCACTCAGACTGGTCAACGTGGATGACTGTTACTAATCAGCAATAATGTCTAATGGTCTGGTAGAAATATCTCAAGGAAGCCTAATTTCTGGAGGTACTTGTTCAAATAGGACCAAATAGAACAGGAACAGGTGTGAAGTGGATATGATCCTGTTACCCACGACCTCTCTGTGGTTGGAGACCTTAGGGTTCTTGGAAGGTATGTGCTCATTAAACAAAGATTAGTAGAGTTGCCTTGAAGCTCACCAGTTAAGATACATCGAATGTTTTCCCTCATTACTTCTAGAACACTCCTATTTATTCTGGAAGTCACCCCAGTTCCTGTGTTTCCCTATGCATTCCAATTTCTTGCCCTAGACTTGGGTGTTAAGCACATCAGCTGCATTTCTTACAATCATTCCCCATAAGCTAGCAAACATTAGGGGCTATGCCCTGACTTAGCAGAGAAAACTGGTGGGATTTGGTTATGGTCTTACCTCTGTTACCTCTGTAACTTTGATATTTTTTTTTCTCTCTTAACCCTGGCAGCTGCAGTAGATTGGAAATGTGCCAAAAGGCATTTGGAAATTTATTTATAGTTTGTACAAATGCAGTTTGAAAATTCTATAGCCAAACTCAGGTATTTCATTTTCATATTAACAAAGTTTGAAAAATTGTATAGTTTTTTAAATTTATTTTTTAATTACCAAAGAAAACACCGAGTGGTCAGATTCTTATCTCCAGAAAGTCTGAGCAGATGGTTTGTGCACATGTGGGCATCATCTATTTTCCTCTCCATAAAAAGAGACAAGCCTTTGATTCTAAAGGCTTTCTTTGCATCACTCCCTCAGTCCGTGGTGCCTAATACATTATTTTATGGTGCTGGTGTTTTAATTTTCAGCCTACAACATGCTTTGTGCCTTGCGAGGGTGGAATCCATGATTTACTGCAGTGGCCATGTGGAATTCTGGAGACTTAACCTGCGAATGTCAATACAAGAGGGATATTTGACCTTGGGAGCTAACCTAAGCCTGAACAGATGGACCTATAAACACGTCTAAGTACCAGTAAGTTAAAAATCTGATCCTTTCTCTCCCGGTATTCTAGTATTTCCTGGGATGGGATAATTGCGGAGGGAGCTGGTGGCCTTTCTGCCTAATGTATTAATATGCTTCTAGTCTCTTTCTCCACTGACATCACGGGGAGAGGGTGTGGTGTTAGTGCTTCAAAAGGCTTGTGTTACAATCAGACCGCTTCTCTGAAAATGTGGCATCATTGCACTGATGATTCAACTCTCTTAGTGTGGGAACAAGACCTTGAGAGAATGTCTGTGGTCTCTCACCATTGCTGTAAATAATTCACTCATCTTGACCCCAAGGGCTGATGCTCATTCTTGACCCTGTCCCTGTCAGCTTGCCATGCTCATGCTGTGCCAGTTTTATTCTGTGGCTGTGGTAAAACACTCGGACCCAAAGCTGCTTTGGGCAAGAAAGGGTTTATTTCAATTTCCAGGTGGTAGTTTATCACGAAGGGAAGTCGGGACAGGAACTCAAACAGGAACTTGAAGGAGAAACTATGGAGGAATACTGCTTGATGGCTCACTCATAGGGTCATTTTAGCTAGCTTGCTTATATAAACTAAGACCAACTGGGTAAGGAATGGTACCACCTATAGAGGGCAGGACCTGTTTTCCTAGAACTGGAGTTATAGATGGTTGCGATTGGTGACTATGTGGGAACCGAGCCCCAGAGGTTCACTAAGTGCTTCTTAACTGTTGACCCATCTCTCAAGCCCCAACCTCCAAAGGTTTTAATCTGATCCTCTCTACATGTATTTTAGACACAAGGCTGAATTTTTTTAAACATTAAATATCAGATTCTGGTACAAATTTTCATCCTCAAACAAAAAATAATTGGTGGTTTGAACAAGAAACGGCCCCTATAGTCACCAGGGAGTGGCACTATTTGAAAGAATTAGAAGGATTAGAAAGTGTGGCCTTTATATATACATATATATATATATATATATATATATATATATATATATATATATGTGTGTGTGTGTGTGTGTGTGTGTGTGTATTGTGTTTGAATGAAAGCTATTAATATAAACCTTTAATTCAAACTATGTATGTGTGTATTGATACACTGATAGATAAGTAGATTAACAGTTTTATGGTAGAGGATTCTAGTTCAAATATTGGTTAATGACAATAATAGAAAATTATTTGCAAGAGTTAAAACATAGTATCTATTTTATTTCTATAAAGTGTGCTTTTTCATGATCATATATAAAAGAAAATGTGATAATTTTTAATGTAATTATAGTGTCATGCTATTATGTGTCCATATCACCATTGGACTGTTTTGAATGTTTTAGATTATACAAGGGTTTTGGGGCATCTTAGAAAAATATTTTCCTGCAAGAATGGGTTTGGGTGAGATCAAACAGTGAGTTGTAACAAATCGTAATAAACTTAACAAATCACTTAGATATTTAGAAATTTTACAACAGTGATATATTTTAAAATAAAATGGAAATTTTTATGAAAGCCTTCAGAAAAAAAAAGAAAAAGAAAGTGTGGCCTTGTTGGAGGAAGTGTGTCACTGGGGGTATGCTGTGAGGTTTAAAATGACCATACCAAGCCCAATCTCTCTCTCTTGGCCTGCAGATCAGATGTAGCTCTCAGCCACTTCTCCAATGCTCTGAGTGCAGCCATGCTCTCCCCTCCACGATGATAATGTGTGAAACCTCTGAAACTGTAAGCAAGTCCCAGATGAAATGCTTTCTTTTACGAGTTGCCTTGGTCATGGTGTCTCTTCACAGCAATAGAACAGTGACTATGGCAATAACACATCCTTAAAACACAAACAAACAAACCAAATCCAAACCCTATTCCGACTGATCAAATCTTTTCTGGAAAGAATGTATGTTGAGGGTGAGGTGGATACCTAACTTTTCTGTTTTTATTTTGTGAAAAATCTATACAGTAGAAATTTCTGGAGAATTGAAAAAAATATTCTAATTCCTAAGGTCATTTTGGACTATTTTAATTCATTTTTTTTCCTGTGTGGTTTTAAAGTAGCCTTATAGTAATTTACTAAGCAATGTCTTGAAGGGAATAATCAGTTGTCTCTGCCTGTATTTTAGGAGGAGGTATCAGCCAGGATAAATCCAATTCTGACCAAGAAATGGACACAGCGCAGTTGTACAGTAAAAATTTGTTTCTTGCTCATGCAAAGACCCAGTGGGTCTGAGAGACTTCTCTCAGTAGTGAGATTCCTTGAAGTGACTGGTCAACCTGAGATCTTTTCATCTTGGGGCTCAGAAATCTCAGCCAAGATCTCCTCCTTGGTTGCTGCAATGGAACAGGGGGATTGTAAGGGTCATTTTAACTCTTCATCTTTGAAAAGTGAGGCCCGTTAATTCCGATCACATTTCACTGGTCAACACCAGCCACATGGTCCCAAGTGCATTGGGAAATGAAATATTGTATGTGTCTTGGGAGGAGTGAAAACCTTGAAACAAATGTAAGCTAGCTATTTCTATTATTCTCTGAAATTGATTCTTTATGAATGAATGATTTATCTCAGAGCTCAAGATTATTTCAACAAAGAAACTTGACACATGTAAATAAAAACTGTTAAATTTGGATTACTGGACAACTGGGAAATCATTGGCATCTCAGAGATGACTTGAGCATGGGTCTACATAAAGAATGTATTTAGAGTAGACACATGATAGCCATGTGTATTGTCAAAATGTCATCTTTTGTTCTTCTACTTTCTTTAGAAAATTGGTTCCCTGCCACTTTCTCTAATCCCACCACTTTGGAATGGCCTCCAAAAAAAAGTATCAGGGTTTGATCAGTTCACAGTTTGCTATAGTGATGTGTAATCTTGCTCTAAGTACTGACTGGTTCACAAACATGGTCAATCGAAGTTTGAGTATGAAACCTGAAAAATTATTGGTACTGATGAATTTCTTTCAAGTTACAGATAGATAATTTTATGTGGTCTATTCTTAGAGTTAACATTAGACATAAAACCAAGAAAACAAGAGTATGGACACATATACTGTTACCTATTTGCTTTGGTGATGCCCTGATTTAGGTCTGCTAATGGGAACTCTGAGCTCATTTTAACTAAAGAATTCAATGCATAGGATTTTGTGTTGTAAGCATCATTATTTCTCAGCTCTATTCAACCATGGCCAAATGGCTCACAACATGACCAACAGTTAATTTTAAAGAAAAAATTTAACAAGTTAATTATCTGCAGTCCTTAGAGCATATGGTTCCTTCTGAGGTCAGTGACTCGTTACACATTTCTTAATGGTGTAAAGCATGGTGATGAATAATGTGTGCACTGCATGTTTTATTTTGTTCATTGTTGGCAATTGAATGCAAGGCCTCACACGTTCATTATTATTTTTCCTCTGTTTTATTGAAGCAAAATCGACAAATAGAATTTATACAATCAAGCACACAATGTGACATATACACTCTGAAATGATTACTACAATCACGTTGATTAACACCCATCACCTCATAGTTACATTTTTCTGACTCACTTTTTTAAAAGCAAATTTTAAGTATGAAGTAGAATATTATTAATTATAGCCATCACATTAAATATCATATTCCCTGAATTTATTCATCTTATAACCGGGAGAGAGGTACAACTAATATCTCTCCATTCCCCAACTCCATATTCCCTGACAACTACTGTTCTATTTTCTGATTATGAGTTCATATTTATTTAAATTTGGGATTTATTTATTTTTATTTTCTGTCTATGGTTCATTTTGTCTCAATGAATGTCTGTGTAACCACATGTATACAGTACCTACAGAGGTCAAAAGAGGGGCTTGAATTCTCTGGGAACTGGAGTCACAGATGGAGTCCCACCATGTGGCTGCTGAGAACTGAACCTGTGTCTTCTGAAGAACAGCCAGTGCTCTTAAGCACGGAGCCATCTCTTCAGCCCCAAGTTCAGCTTTTAATGACATTTTTGGTCCGATCTTATTGTCATTGGGATGAAATATCTGAGAAACACAACTTGAGGGAGGGAGTATTTAATTTCCAAAACAGGTTCCAAGGTTTCAGTCCATCATGACAACGAGCACATGGCAGAGAGAAGCCTGTCACATCCTGGTAGACTGGAAGCAGAGAAAGCACACAGGAATGAGGTGGGCAGGACATAGGCCCCAATGACAATCCCTAGTGATGCGCTTCCTCCAGGTAGGCCTTACTCATGACATGTTAGTGAGTGTTCTCCTCCTACAAAACAAACTAATAGAATGAATACAAACTAGGAAGGGGATTTATTGGAGTGGCTTCCACAGTTCAGGTTGGGTAGTCCAGTAATGGCCACCTACTCGCTGTTTCATCCTTGAGACTAGATGCCCCAGTTGTCCTGATCTGGAGATGAAGACCTGGGGATTCCTGGAGAACCATAGGTCTTTAATCCCTGGGGGGAAGGCTGTAGAAGCTGAGTTCTGGTACCGATGAAGGATCGCAGCCTTAGGGTAGATGTCCTTACTAGCAGGCAGCGAAGGCAGGCATGCAAAAGCAACAGCTTTATGTCTGGTGCCACATACCCTGGGGATGGGCCTCCCCCCCCCCCCCCGCCCCGCTCCGTTGATCCCTCCAAGAAATACTCTCATAGCCCAGAGGCATGTCCCATAGTTGATTCCAGATCCAATCACATCCCTGATCAACAGTCACAACCTCCTTTCCACAATCTTTTAAGAATGTCACTATATTATGAGTCCATCAAGGAATTACTCCACTGATGAGGTCTAATTGTTCCCCCCAAGCCCAACTTTGGCCAGGTGACTGGCCCCAGCATCCTCCTCTCCTCTTTTTCTTGCTCCCCCTTTTCTCTTTGTCTCCTTCTATCTCTTCTCTCTGTCATCCAGCCAGGTCTCTTTCTCTCTCCTGCCTCGCTGTCAGCTGTTCAGCTCTCTATTAGAGCAATCAGGTGTTTTAGTCAGACAAAGTAGCAAAGCTTCACAGAGTTAAACAAATGCAACATAAAAAAAAAAAAATGCTCTGCTGGGAAGGAACTTGGAACCTAAGCTCTTCCCCACAGCCATCTTGCTGTTACCATCTTGGTGTAGTTCCAGCACCCTCTAAACTCTGGCACTAAAGCTTCCACACTTCACTAATTCCTGGTTTTAGAACTCATAACTTTCCTAAGAAAAAAAGAAGGGCAGGTTTAAAAAAAAAAAAACAACAGAAGAACCTCACATTTCATAAGACCCCCGATGAATTGGATATGTGAGAACGTAAACATTCCTAACCGTGAATTTACTAAACTGGCCCCGTGATAGACTCCTTCAGTGCAGGGATTTTTGCTTGTTTTACTTTGCAGCAGCCTTGTTCATATTCCAGGTGTAGCTAGCAAACCCATTTTGAAATAAGAGCCTTACTTGATTCTGACAGAATAGATGTTTCCTGTCTATCCTTTGTGACGGGACCTCTTACAAGAGGACCTCTTACATAACATATGTTATGTGTTTGTTGTATTAAATAAAGAAGACTGTAAATATTAAAAAAAATGCTATGCATCTTCGCATCATTAAACAAATACTCCACAGCATTAGCAAATGCAACACATCTTCAACTAATATTCCACAAGACCCAACTGCTGATAATCAAACTCCCAATGAATGAGCCTATGGTTGACATTAAATATTAAAAGTGTAACAACATCTAAGTGACACGTAACACTATTTTTGTTCTGTGTCTGGCTTATATTGCTTACTATAATGCCCTCTGGTTTAATATATTATGTTATAATGACAGGATTTCCTTATTTTTTTTTTTGTGAATAAGTAGTGTTTCATTATATGCAACATTGTGTCTATATGGCTTTTCTATTCATTTGTTAATGGTACATAGTTTACTGCCATATCTTGGCTGTTGTGACTAATACTATAATGAGCAGAGGGGTGTGAATATCCATTTTCAACATTGGCCTCACCTAGACATGGTTAGAACATAGGGGAGATATGTTTTAATTAAAACACTTATTTTTATGAGTGTTTGCCTGTCTGTATGTATGTGCATGAGGTACATGCTATGCCGAAGGAGGCCAGAAGATGGCAGTAGATCCCCTGGAACTGGAGTTACAGATGCTTGTGAGCCACCATGTAGATGCTGGGACGTGAACCTGGGTCCTCTGCAAGAACAGCAAGTGCTCTTAACTACCGAGCCATCTCTCCAGCCCTGTATTTTTATTTTTATTTTTGAGGAGTCTCCATACTATTTTTGTTTTTTAAATTTATTTTAATTAACTAATTAATAATTTTTCCCCAGCTCCATCACAATTTACCCTCCCTCCCTCCTCTCCTCCTAGTCCCTCCCTTAACCCCCCTTCCCCCATCCACTCCTTCTCCTTTCTCTTCAGAAAAAGACAGACCTCCCATGTCTATCAACCAGCCAGGGTCTATCAAGTTGCAACATTGGTGGTCCAGTGGTAAGCTGCCTTCCATATTATTTTTATAGTGAATGCACCAATTAGTACTATCAACACTATTCAAGTCCCTTTCTCCTTGCCCTTATCAAACACTTAGTGTCTGTCTTTGATACATAGTCAAATGAACATAGTAACAAATACATAGTAACAAAATGAAAGACAAGATCCCTTTGTGGTTTAGATTTGCATTTGCATGAGTATTGTCTGAGGGCCAGCACCAGTCACAGATCAAAGTGTGATAAGGACAGTATGGGAAAAGAACATTATAGGCCAGTTTCCTTGATGAACACCTATGCCAGAATTCCCAATAAAATTCTAACGAATTGAATTCAGCATCACTGTAGTGGGTACACTGGTTGTGTTTCTTGTCTCTGTAACGCAACGCCTTGCAGAAGCAACTTAAGGAAAGAAGGATAAGAAGGATTTATTTTGGCTCACAGTTTTAGGGCAGGCAGTCCACCATGGCAGGAAAGGCAGGGTGGCCAGGGCAGCTTTGTCTGTAATGGCGGGAGTTTACGTTTGTAGCTATGCACATTCTGGCAGATCAGGAAGCGGAGGGCTCAGGTGGATCTAAGGATGGATATAGCCTTTAAAGTCCACCCAGAGTGGCTGACATCTGCCACTCTAACATGAGCTATATTTCACAACTAAAATGTCCCATGGACGTTAGAAAGATAGCCACCAGCTGGGGACCATATTAGTGTTCAACAACATTAGCCTTTAGGGAATGTTTCACACCCAAAGGCTGGCAGAGGGATTTCACATCACCATCAAGTTGGAGTTCACTCTGAGATGCCAGGATGTTGCAAATAGGTGAAAACAATAAATGTGAAGCCCATGTTGACACAATGGAGAAAGAAGTCATACAGACATCTCAAGAGACAGAGAAAAGCCTTTGGCAGCATTCTGCATCCTTTCATTAAAAACTCTCGACAGATTAGGTGTAGAAGGAATGTACTTCAAAATAACAATGACGGTACATGGCAAGCTCACAGGCAATAGCAAGGGAAAACTCCACTTAATTAAAAAAGTGGGTGAAAAGACTTAAACATTTTCCCAAGGAAAACACACAACATGGCCAACCAGTATTACAGCAGCACACTGGACACCATTGGTCATCAGGGATTTCAGTGCTGTGTGCTCCAGAAAGCCTGAAATAGAATTCCAAGTGAAAGGTAAGTTATTGCTACTTGGGTTTTTTATATTACAAAATACATTAAGAGATACTTGACCATTCTCAGTAGGGGGAGGGATGGAGAGGGAGAGCAATGAAAGAGATATCTTGATAGAAGGAGCCATTATGGGGTTGAGGAGAAACCTGGTGCTAGGGAAACTCCCAGGAGTCCACAAGGATGACCCCAGCTAAGACTCCTAGCAATAGTGGAGAGGGTGCCTAAGCTGGCCTTCCCCTGTAGTCAGATTGATGACTACCCTGATTGTCATCATAGAACCTTCATCTAGTGACTGATGGAAGCAGATGCAGAGATCCACAGCTAGGCACTTGGCTGAGCTCCTGCAATCCAGTTGAAGAGAGGGAGGAAGGATTGTATGAGCAAGGGGTGGGGGTTGTCAAGATCGTGATGGGGAAACCCACAGAGACAGGTGACCCAAGCTAGTTGGAGCTCACATACTCTGGACTGACGGATGGGGAACCTGCATGGGACTGAACTAGGTACTCTGAATGTGGGTGACAGTTGTGTGGCTTGGTCTATTTGTAGGGCCCCTGGCAGTGGAACCAGGATTTGTCCTTGGTGCATGAACTGGCTTTTTAAAGCCCATTTCCTATGGTAGGATACCTTGCTCAGCCTTCATGCAAGGGGGAGGGGTTTGGTTCTGCCTTAACTTGATATGGCAGACTTTGTTGACTCCCATAGGAGGCCTTACCCTCTCTGAGGAGTGGATGGGGGGGGTGTGGTGGGGGAAGGTGGGGTGGGACACGGGGAGGGGAGGGCAGAGGAACTGTGGTTGACAAGTAAAATGAAAAAAATTTAGAATAAAAAAAGAGAAAATACACACACACGAAGAAATGCTTGACCATTCTCAAATCTAGACATAATGAAATAGCTACATTTTATTACTTTTGTCCCCTGCCTTTTGTGTGTGTGTGTGTGTGTGTGTGTGTGTGTGTGTGTGTGTGTGTGTGTGTGTGAAGGCTGGGTGTGTTGACATTGCATTTCTTCCTCAATCATTCTCCATTATATTTTCGGAGTGAGTGTCTCTCATTTAACCTGAAACCAATTAGGCTAGATGGATGGACTGGCTAGATAGCCCAGAGATGCCCACTTCTCTGCCGTTGCCAGCACTAGGGTTGCAGGGATGTGCTGCCACACCCACCTTTTCTAGCATAGATGCTGGGGATTGAACTCAAGTCATCATGTTCACACAGCAACGATTGTACTGACTGAACACTGACCAGCAGCTCCCCAGCTCCTGTTTTATTATCACTAGTGTTAAAAAACCTCAAACAAATCAGCCTGAAAGGTGAGCTATTTGAAGCCATAGTTGGTCATGTGTGTCTCACTGGGTCTTAACTATGCTCAGCCTTTAGTAAGTCGTTGATATTGACAAGACAGTCACTCCTGAAGATGAACACAATCCGTTTGTCCTGGCTAAGTTTTATGTCAAGTTGACACAAGCTAGAGGTATCTGAAAGGAGGGAACCTTAACTGAGAAAATGCCTTTCTAAGATCCAGCTGTAGAGCATTTTCTTAGTTAGTGATTGGCGGGGGAGGGCTTAACCCATTGTGGGTGGTGCCACCCCTAGGCTGGTGGTAAGGCTGAGAAAGTCAGTAAGCAGCACCCCTCCATGGCCTCTCTCTCAGCTCCTGCCTCTAGGATCCTGCCCTTCTGGGGTCCCTGCCCTGACTTCCTTCAGTGATGAAGATTGATGTGGAAGTGTGAGCCAAATAAACCATTTCCATTCCAAGCTGCTTTGGTCATGATGTTTCACCACAGCAGAAATAACCCTAACTAAGATGTCATGCTTTGTTCTAAAGACAGTTTGGGTAAAATTTTATATTCAAGGAAGTTAATTTATATTTAAACTTTTATAGTTCATGATGCAAATTTAAAAGCATAAGTATTATCATTCTTAAGGCATGTAATTTCAGGCTTATGTAATGAAAACAATAAATCTTCTGAAATGTAAGCTATCATTATTGAGATAATATGTTGAACATTTTTTTTTCAGAAGATTCACAGAACCTTTAAACTTTGGCACAGCATATCATTCTTGTGACTATTTATGTACTAGACTACAACAAATGGAAAATAATTGAAGAATAACACATTTTGTGCATTTGCTTTTTTACATAAATAAACTCATGGAGAGATAGGATATAATATGACATTATCAAAATCTTTGTGGCTAAATTTAGTTTTAATAGGATTTCAGGTCTGTTGTCTTTTGACAGCTGGAAAATCTTTGATTAATCTTTGTGAAAAGAAATTAAACTTTAAACCTTATATACCAGAGAAAAGGCTGCTAAGGTGCACAGAGATTAAGCTTATTAACTCCAAGATTAATCAGTCAACATTAGCAAATTCACAGTTAGAATACAATGCTGATAAATGCGTAATCCTTAAATGATATTCCAATTCGATTTACCATATTTGCTAATTCCCGAGTCATAATGATTCATTATAACTCTGATAGCCTGAATTTCTCTCACAGAGATTTCAATTTGCACTCTTCACCTGCTTTAAGTTTTAAGATAGCACGTCGGGGTGATCTGCTAACATGAGCTTAGAGAACAATTCTTCAAAGACAGAAAGCTCCAGGGTTTCGCAAAGCAGTGGACTCGGCAGCATTCTCAAAACCTGATGGCAAGGGATGAATACATCTGGGCTCCATTTCCAGAATGTTTAACTTTTCCCTGTAGAATCTTGTATAGTTATTTTCCCTGCAAAACCTTGGTTTTCTTGTTTTAAAAATATTTAGTTTCAAATTTTTATGTGTGTGTGTGTGTGTGTGTGTGTGTGTGTGTGTGTGTGTGTGTGTGTGTAGTATGTGGGTGCCTGCAGAGGCCAGAAGAGGGCACTGGATACCATGGAGCTAGAGTTACAGGCAGTTGTGAGGCATTGAAGTTGTTGCTGGAGACAATAACTCCCATTCTTTGGAAGAACAGCAAGTGCCGTTAACTGCTGAGCCATCTCTTTAGTCCAGTAGACCTTGGTTTTCCTAGCAGTAAAATGGGGCTATGTGAGGCTCCTCTATCATAGCCTCATTGCAAACACCAATGGAGCAATATACCTTGTGACACTTTGTGGTAGTGAAGTCATTGTCATGTGGAAAATAAACAATAATCGTTTGTTATTATTTTTATGAACATGGCGGTAATATTTTCAGAGCGAGGGGTTAGTTGAGTCTTTTGACAGTTATGTAGATATAAATGTGCCCATGCTTGAGTGTGTGGTCCTTGGATGAAGCAAATGGCAGACACGTTAGGGTTGGTCCTCACAATTTCGTCTTATTGCTAGAATTTATAATGCAAATATAAAATACTACTTATAATAACGAAGATCCCCACGAAGAAATCATATCTGTAATAATGGGTATAATTACAATGGATGAATGGCATCATTAGGATTGTGATGGCTATTTAAAAAGCAAGTTAGAAAATATTAACGTTATGTATGTGTTAATCTAGAGTGTTTATGCCAATACGGAGCCACGACTGTGGGAAAGTTATTAGATAGCAATCAAGAAATTTTTATTGTCTGAAAAGTACCCTGCATGGAGGGAAGCCAGAGAAATGGGCTTGTCTGAGAGCAGCAGATATATCCAGGAAGAGAAGTGTCAGAAGAGTGCAGGACATCCCACTGGGAGTCAGCATTCTGGGCTCCTTTCATATCACGCAGTGTGGCTGACGATTAAAACCTGACAAAGCATCTGTTAAAGTAATGCAGAGATCATTTGCATGCAGGCAGGGGCACCCTGAAGACACACCCCTATTGTGTGTATAAAAGGAACCAGGAAAACACAATGACTACACTGAACTTGGAACTGCAACTGAAATATCAAGGCCTCTTCACCCTTCCAGATTGAGGTAGATACATTCATTACAAACTGGTCATCAGATAGGAAGAAAGATGGAGTTACCTGGACTGCGTGATTCTTTCAGGGATGAAAATATGAAGTGAACAAAGAGGAAAATGATAAAGATCCAGAAGTTAATTTTCACAGATAACTTGTTCTATGTCTTTTTCCACATAAAAAATACCTTGCTTTGTTACAGGACATATGCTTCAATTTGACCAGTGTTTTGAAGTCACGTAACATGAGTAGAAGATTTCATAAATGCAATGAACAGGCTTGGGGTTGTAGGGGAAGCTGGGCAATGGATCTGGATCGTCAAAGGCTTGTAGTGGAGAAGGAATAAGAAGAGTTTGGGAAGAATATGTGATTTGAAGTACATTACCACACACACACACACACACACACACACACACACACACAATTCCAAATAAGTAGTACCTTTTCTGATGAGGCCCAGGGCAACAATCTCTGGCTATTTTCAAAGACAGTGTAATCTCGTCCACTTAGGCTCATCTTATTATGTAATGGCAGTCATTCATCTATCTGTCCAGGCATCAAACATTTATAGACAGTCAATTATACCAGGCACCTACAAAAGTGAGCTAACCTTTTATGGAGTTCATAGTGTAGGAAAGGAAGATACCACACTATACTGTGGCTTTATTTACTTGCCTCAGCACTAGGACCGGAATATGTGAGGAGAGTAGGAACGTGAATGGAAGACTAGTATAAGTATAATCGGTATTAAGGTTGGTTTAAAGATGATCCATTTGGAAGCACAGAGTTTTAGGTCTCAGAGGTCATGAGATTGACCGCTTCCATTGCACACAGAGAAAAACATGTGAGGAGATGGATGATCAACTCAAAGCAACATGGTTTATTGGCAACTGAACTGAGAGTTGAATCCACCCCAGGGTGTTTCAGCTCCAATTTGTTCTCCTTCTGATCAAGCCGGTTGCCTAAGGAGGGTTAATGGTTGATATAAATGTTTTATGGAGGGTTGGTGCCAAAGAACACATGCCTAGATTGTCGTTTCAAAGGGAAATAAATTAATGATATGAGCAACTTAATGGAAGGCACCAGATTAGAAGGAGATTAACTCTGCAGAGAGCAGCAAGGAGCAGGTCCGGCTTTATGAAGATACTGTCTTACAAATTAGGGAGTCGATATTTGCTGTGACTGATGTGAGCATTAAGAGACTGAGGCAGATGCGCAGAGCCAATGGAAGGGTATCCAGGCCCACTTAGGGGTGTTTTCAATGGAGTTTCATCCCTTAGCAAACTGAAAAATCCATCAATAAGGCTGAATTAAAGCTTGTTGGCCACTCCCTCAACTTTTTTTTTTTTTTGGCCAGACAAGAATATACAGACCTGTTAAACAGCTATTATTAAAATAACATCAAGATGATAACAGGGTCTGTTATGTTAGAACATTCTGGAAGCTGGACACCTACTGTACCACGGATTAGCTGTTGGCTTTGGAGAAGTTGCTAAACTCGACCAAGGCTCAGTTGTTTCATATATAATGTGAGATATACAATGTGAGACTATTTAGAGATCCCTGTAGGCTTAAAAACCCGGTCTTAGGAATAGACGATATTTGCTTGCACAAAAAGTACCACATAAATGGTTAGCTGAACCATGTGTTCTACGTGATAAGCCCTGGTAAATAAAGTCGTTGATAGGCAGGAATAGAAAGAAAAAAAATGATAGCCCACTCATTTTAATGAGTACCCTGACAGTATATATACAAAATGGTTTATTATTAAACCATTGCACTAGTAGAGAAATTGGAAAAATCACAATAAAAAATTTCAATTTTCCATTTCACTAACTTTATTGAATTGCCAAGGCATATGACAGCAGCCAGAGTTGATACATTAAATGTGGATGTTTAAGAACAAAGTTAATATGTGATATTGTTGTTTTCCCTTTTAGCTCTCTGCTGCTAACCCCTCTAACATTAAATAAATCTTCTTTCTTTGCTTATTGCCAAAAAGCACATATTTTTGATAGTTTGAGTATGTTTCCAGCTAATTCTTCATTTTTCTGTAAAGTCAGTAAATCACTGTGGATTCTTTTTTTTTTTTTCAATGCCAAGTGTAATACAATGTTAATGTTCCCTGGGTTTCCAGCATCTGGCTTCTGGCTTCTATTTTCAGTTTATGATCCTGGCATCTATATTTGGTAAAAGTCTGCTTATGTTTTTCAAATCTGATGTAAAGCAATTTTACAGCAGAGCGTTTCTGAATTGAACCTAAAGCAAACAGAGTTATCATAATTCTAGCTATATGCTTCCTAAGGAAGCAACAGAATGCTTTTTAAAAACAGAGCCTTGCTCTCTGCCTCCATGTATCGTTGTATGTCTGTGTTTATACTGCGGACGTTAATATCCTCACCCTTTGAGCTGATGCTAGTACAGAGAGCCAGTGTCTCCTCTCTCTGACTGCTCTGGGTTTCCACGCTAGCTAGCACGGGTGAATGTCTTTTTCTGGGACTCAGGCTCTGTTTTCTCTGTTGGCTCTTGACATTTCCTAACTGCAGGGGGTCTTGGGCTGCATCATAGTCCAAAGATCAGCCATTAATTGAGTAAGTTTGTTGAGAAGTAAAACTCACACAGTCCTATTTTAAACCATATACAATAAAAATATTATATATATTTATATATAATTTTTATTTAACAGCTTCTGAGGAGAGGTTGGGGAGATGGCTATTAGTAAAGAGTTGGCCCTTGGGGCCCGAATTCTATCATCAGAACTCAAGCTAAAAAAAGCAGCTGGGCATACTGCAATACATCGTGAAGATCTTCTGTTGAAAATGAAAGAACACGACCCAACCCAAAACCAAAACAAGGATCACCCTGGTAGAAGTAGAAGCCAGGATGCTAGGTTAGGCTGAAACCACATTGGTTGGATAACTTCTTTTTAAAAAATAATTGTGTGTGTGTGTGTGTGTGTGTGTGTGTGTGTGTGTGTGTGTGCGCGTGCATGAGTGTGCATAAGCATGCATAATGGCATGCCACTTCAAGTGTGTGGAGATCAGAGGATCAGGCATTGGTTCTCCCTTCCATCTTGTGGGGTCTGAGTGACCAAGCTGTCTTCAGGCTTATGCAGTGAGCGTTTCACCCACCAAGTCATCCTTCCTTATCCAGGAAATTCTCTTCTGCTGCAGGGTGGGGAGCTCTCTCATTTCCACCACCGGAGGCTCCGTGGTTCCCGGTTTGCAGACCACTCGTCTCAGTATCTTTTGCTGAGCAGATAAATCAATTCCTGCCTGCTGACGTTTCTTCAGCCACGTTGTTACATTTTGTGTGGTTATTTAACTTTCCCAGAGTATAATTTGTTTTTCTCTTATCTCTCTCAGAGTAAGAAGAACAGCTTGTATCTTGGAGGGAAGCCAAATCAAAATCCACACAGAACAAGCCAGCACTTGGCTTGGCAGTGGAGCGCTCTCTTCACAGTTGTGGGTCTGTCTCCGATTCTTTTTGGGTCCTTTCACCTCAGGAGAGGAAAGCATTTGGGAATTTGGACGTGAGTAGATGCTTAAGTCTAAGTGGGAAGAAAGTTGGACTTTTGCTTTGCGAGGGCCACATGCTGGCGCCACCCTGGTGACATTCCACTATCACAACACTCAGGGTGGCTTACGAGACAGTGTGTGCTGTTCCCCAGGAGCAATGTTTGCTTGCTGTGCCTGTCTGATAGGCTTCTAAAAGACTCACAACACGGGCTCCACCTGTTCAAGCTCTATCATGTAGCAACATTTAAAACCACAGTGGGATTGAAATCACACCCTGCTCCACTCCCTCTGGAAGACTCCACTCAGTACCCAGGCAGTCGTGCAAGGGAGAGGGAGCCAGGCTCTTTCAATCAATGCCAGTTTGGGACTAATTACACGGAGAATGATGGGTGACAACATGACCCACACTGCAGCGATCGGCTGGGTGTGACGTTTTCCTTCAGCTCATTGCTGATTCCTCTGATTAGTAGCCAGCATGACTCAAGAAGTATGTGTTTCCACCGGTGTTGGTTGTCTCACATGACCAAGGGTCCTTTGATCCAACACTCTCCATCCGATGATGGTTGTGTTTCTCAATAGGTCCTACAATCAGGAACTACACGTTTCTCTCAATGTGGACTAAATATTTTATAAGCTTATATAACACACACTTTACAAAGGAATTTTCTTCAGCCAATATCTGTTGTAAAGCCCTGGCATGATTCAAATATGGTCCATGTGTGGCACTCAGAGGACAGCCTTGGGTACTGGTCTGGCCTTCACCTCCATCTTGGTTGAGTTAGGATATCTTGTTCACTGTTGTGTATGCCAGACTAGCTGGCTCATAGGCTCCCAGGAATCTCCTCTCTGCTTCCCATGTTGAAGGAAGGCTAGGATCATATCTGTGTGCTACGGTGTCTTGGCTTCAAGTGGGTTCTGGGAAATCTGAACTCAGGTCCTCATGCTTTGTGGCTAGTACTTTCTCTAATGAGTCATCATGTTTTTGACATACTAAATATTCCTTAAAATGGCAACATGAGAAATAAAATGAATGTTAACAAAAACTATCCCCAAATCTTAAAAATGTCTAGCAAATCTCTTCCAGCACTAACTGCTGTTAACATGCACGTAGTTAAGAAGAAATGGTCTTAAATGAGTTGGTAAGTCTGGGGCATCAACTCTTTGCTTAATTTTTCAGCAAAATGATTTTTTGAAAACTAGCCAGGTTCCCCAAGGATCCCCTTTTCACAGCAGACCAGAAGCATGTCTGTGTGGTGTCAGAGAGGCATCCGATGGGAATGTTGGCCTGGCCTGGCACTGTGAACCCAGGAGAGGTGTCTATAATTGTCTTCATCCCTGCTGATGGCCATGCTTTTCTGAATGTTCCATTAAGGAAGGACATGGGCTGTCTTCTTTACTGACTCTTTCTCACAACGTTCTAGCATTTTCTTGACCTTGGATGTCCTTCCTCACCCCCAATGTTCCTTGTTACTGTCTTGCTTATTTAATTCTTAACTAATTTCCTTGTACTTTATTATATATATATATATATATATATATATTTACATGGTGTGTATACACATATAAGTCACACACATACATATTATATATACTTTAAGATTGTCAGTGGTTCCTTCACTTATGAGGTCTGGGATAGTTTGCTTATATATGTATGCACGGTTTCACTGTGTAGCCCAGGCTGGGCCTCAAACATGCCACATAGCCTGGAGTGCTCTCTAACTTGTGAACTTCACTCAGTCTCCTGCGACCTGATTACAGGTAAATGCTGCAGTTCACAGCTCACCCTGTAGACATCTGTGTTGCACTCTGATTTCTTTCTCATTTCCATCTTCTGACAGATTGTTCCTTCTCAACGTCCTCTGAAGTTTCGCTTGCAATCCGCCCCTTGAATGCGCCGAAGAGTTCTGCACCAATGGCTTTGGTAAAACTGCCATTGGTTTACTGATGCTTGATTTCAGAAAAAGGGGCTGCAGCTTTGTTGTCTGTGGTGGTTTGAAAGAAAATGGCCCCCAAAGGGAGTGGCACTGTTAGGAGGTGTGGAGTAGGTTTGGTCTTGTTGGAGGAAGTGTGTCACTGTGTGTTGGCGGGCTTTGAGGTCTCTTTTCTCAACCATCACTCAGTGGGACAGTCAGTTGACTTCCTGTGGCCTGCAAGATGTAGCACTTTCAGCTCCAGCACCAACTCTGCCTGCATGCCACCATGCTCCCATCATGATGATAAGGGACCGAACCTCTGAAACTCTAAGTGAGCCACCCCAAATGTCTTCTTTGTAAGAGTTGCTATAGTCATGATGTCTCTTCACAGCAATAAAAACCCTAAGGCATTGTCCATATGAAGAAAACACACACACACACACACACACACACACACACACACAAAGCAGTCATTTAGAATCTATTTAGAATATCCTTGTTTGATTTCTTATTTTGGCAGTTTGGAAGGGTAAGAAGTCACTATGTAGGAACTGGAAAGATGGCTCAGTAGCTAAAAGCATGAACTGCTTTTGCAGAGGACTGAAGTTTGGGTGTCTCACCCTTAGGTGCCTCACCATAGCCTCAACTCTAGCTGCAAGGGATCCAACACCCTCTTCTGGTTTCTTCAGGCATCTGCATTCATGTGCATACCTCCATCCCTCACCCATGCCTCATACACATAATTTTTGAGAAGTCACTGTGTCATGGCAACAGAGATTCATCAGAAGTCACACAAAGTCACCGGAGTGTGATGCTCCAATTCAGTCATAGGCAGTGAGCGGTCACAGGACCAAGAAAAGCTAAACTGTCAACTCCCCACTCCCCTGAGTGTTATGGGATAAATCTTGCTTCCCATCCTTAGCCACACAAAATTCCAACCCTGAGGGTGTCAGAATGTAGCAGTATTCCAGAGAAAATGTCTTTGAAGGTGCTAGATGCATAAAAGAATACCATCAGAGCTGGACTGTAACCCCACCATTTGACTGGTGTCCTTTGAAGAAGAGACGGGTATGAAGAGAGACATAAGGGGACTGTGGGTAAGGAACGGTAATGCTGTGAAGAGGCAGAGAGATGAAGGTTTGCGCAAGGCTGAAGGGAGCCTCGGGAGGGACTGAGCCCCCCTGAGGAATTGGTCATCCACCTGCACCATGGTGGGAAAATGAACACAGATGGTGCTTGCTGCCTCTGCTGAGAGGCTTGGATGCCAGGATGAGGTACATAGTTCTTGTGGCATCGCAAATTTGAAAGGATTATTGGTGAAGAGATGAAACCCTTAACTGATGCTTCTGTTTGGAGTAACTGGAATCCTGTCCCATGAGAACTTCTCCTTAGTTAGAAAGCTTGAATTTTGAACTCTTCCTCCTTGCCCTCAACAGGCTGTTTGCTCCTTTAGATGGAGCGACCACTGGCTGTGTGAGACCTCCACGTAAGAGAGTGGTGTGCGACAGGGGTCCTGCAAACATCAAAACTGGTAAAGATTGTAGAGAGCCGTGTACGGCCGCGCCGCAAAGATGGCGCCGGCATCCGGCTTCCGCCTTCCCGATGACAGGTGCTTCTTATTTGGCTAAGGCTAGGATCTGGCTTGCTTCTGTGCACCTGGACCTAATCTGGCTTGCTTGCGTATGTCTGACCCTATCGGCATTGTCCACGTGGCACTACGGGGTTGATTGCCCAGTGGCTATAAAGGGCGTGGGCTGGCTTTCCCCGAGAGAGAAGAAGATGGCTTTCCCCGGGATCAGAAGATTGTCTCAAGGTTCCTGAATAAACTGCTTGGAGAAGAGCCTGGTGCTGCGCCTTCCTTGCTGGTCGAGGCGGACGCAACAAAAGATCTGGAGAACAAGGGAAACAGCAATCTCAGGGGCTGGAGAAGTGGACAAAGCTAAGGGTGCTTACTGCTCTTCCGGAGAACCCAAGGTAGGTTCCCAGTGCCCACATCACTCATCATATAACATCCTGTAACTCTAGCTCCGGGGACTATGATGCCCTCTCCTGTCGTCCTCAGAACCTTCGCACATATACATGCACCGCCCCCACACCAACAACTAGACAAGCAAAATCATTGATGTTTAAAGGGTCTGTGACCTTACTCCAGAAAAGATTTTTTTTTAAAATTTTGCTATTCAGACAGATTTTTTTTTTTTGCGGCAGGATGGGATCTGTGTTGGCTTCAACAGAAGATATGCTAACGCAGAATGGGACTTTAAATTGTTTTCATGACAAAGGCTATAAATTATCCTAGGTGACTCAAATTATTCATGAGAGAGGAGATCTTGATTTATGCACCAGCTTTGTGTAAACTTCATTTTTTTTTGTAAAGTAAATCACTTTCCGTCGACTCACATTACAATCCAAGAACTCTTTATCTTCTTTTAAAAGTCATCTTCAGTTGACACTGGCATTTTATACTTCTCTGCAAATGTTTTGTAACCTCAGTGCATAACTTTACATGAAGCAAAGCTATTTCCAGAAACTGTGTGGGAGGCACGTGACCCTTGAACAGAGGTGACCCTGAACAATGGCTTATTGCTGGGGCTGTGGGTTCACAGAGCTGGACCCTCTGTCTTCAATGTGCTTCCTGTCTTTGGTGGATTTTGGAACACCAATGTGTTCAAAGAAGCAAACAAGCCCCCATGTGCAAATGCTTTGTTTCATGCGAATATGGGGTGTTCTTACAAAATGGAGTTACATGACTTCATGATAAATAAAACCAGGTTTCCCTTAAGGTAGGTCTTTTTCAGCAAAACCTTAAAGATGATTAATAGAATCGGTTTGTTGCCGCAGTCCAATTTCTGTGGATAGAGTTTCTATGTATTCACATCCACTACAGACCGCTCTGAGAAGAAATATGATGAGAGAATTCACTTTCCTAGGTGCATTTACCAAGCATCTAACGTGCTCACTGAATTGTATGAGGCTTTGAAAGACCAGTAAGCCATGCCGAAGGAACACTAAGAAGTCCTAATACTATAGAACCAAATGGCTGTCAGCCGTGTGGTGCACAGACAAGTAGAGAACTTGGGTCATGATGGACAGGTGCCACA